ACTGTCTTAAACATTATCTTTCACTGTTATTGTTGTCTTTTGAAGGGGATATTCATTTTGGTCCATTAATGTTTCATCATTCTACGAATAAGAATGAAAAGGACACTCAAAGCAAACATTAGGACATTCTTTTGGAAGAAATGAAGAGAAATAACGAGAATGATATAATGAAGTGAGAACTCAACAAGCTGCACTTAGTGGTTATAACAAAACAACGTAACAAATAATAATTGTTTTTTAATGATTTCATGATACTCCGTACAATAATTGTAATACTAACTTCGTAACATTTACTCCAAGGCTTCCATACTCCGCAGACGTTGGTTTCCAATTGCTTTCCAATATCTAAGCTATCGGAAATTTTTGGAGTTTGGATGGTCCGATTGCTTTGAAAATCGGTTTCCAATTGCTATGTTACTAGAACACCGAAGATCTTTGGACTTCGGATTTTTATGTCCGGGTATACATTAATGGGCATCTTATTATAATTATATGAGCATACAAATGAATATTTGAGCAAAATAGAGATTTTAAATGAGTTTTGTAAGCTATTCTTATTTGATATTGATGTTATGCCCATTTTAAAATATCAATCGCGTAGGAGCACAAACTATGATACTCAATTGCAAGTTTCTAATACTCAATAGATTGGCTTTGATATTCAATGAAAATGTCTTGATGCTCAACTGAAAAAACTTACGGAGTATGATTTTCATATCAATGCTCATTTTGTAAGTCACATATGCTCAATTGGTAATCACGTTATACTCATTTTTAAAATGTCATACCAATGCATATTTGAAAAGTACAATACATTAGATTCACATATTGAAGTTCGTAAGTGTTGATTAGAGATAAAATATAACAAGTTCTTAAGAAAAAGAATGAGAATTAGACCACGATACTCATTGTTAGGCTTCTAATACTCAACAGAATATGTCCGATACTCATTAGAAGTGCATTAATGCTCATTTAGCGTAAGACCTGAAATTCATTCAAATTACTAAAATGCCACTGGTTTTTAGTTGTGATATCAGATTTCTTATAATAACACAGTGCTCATTATTAGATGCTTAATACTCATTAAAATTGGACTATTTCTCATTAATAGTACACTAATGCTCATTTAGCAGAAACCACAATTTTCACATTAATTACAAAAATTCCACCGAATTATTTTGCTATTTTTCCCTTGGGTCTGTTTCTGGGCCAGCTTTACGGTGAGCATCATACAGCCGGTTGTTAATACGAAGTATACATACTCCCAGCCGACGACGCCTTTATGGTCATCGATCTCTCTAGAATATGCCGTGTATAAATCAATATTAAGGATAATACATTTGGGTTTAGACTGGCTAGAAGTCAAAGCCGACGATGAGCATATTTTGAAGTGCCAAATCAGCAGCACTGTTAATTTAGACATCTGCATTGGTAAAAACAAATTGATTTGATAAATTCACCATAAATCATACGTTCAAAAATTCTCATAAAATCAGGGAAAATTACCAAAACACGGGAGTTTCCCGTCTGACATGCCAAAAAACGGGAAAGTGTTTTAGGTTACCAAAATACGTTAGTCGGAATTGGAGAATCCGACTAGAGATTAGGGTTTTCAGCCTTACACCTAGTCGGAATTGGGTAATCCGACTAGGGTAAAAAAAAATTGTTTCGAACTGGCGAAGTGTTTAAAAATCCGAAAAAACCAAATTAAACACCTAGTCGGATTCCCCAATTCCGACTAGGGTAATATTTTTAATTTTATTTAGAATGTTTAATAATCCAAAAAAAATAAATTAAACACCTACTCGGATTCCCCAATTCCGACTAGGATATTATTATTATTTTTATTTAGAATGTTTAATAATCCAAAAAAAAAAAAAAATTAAACACCTAGTCGGATTCCCCAATTCCGACTAGGGTATTATTATTTATTTTATTTAGAATGTTTAATAATAATGTTTAATAATCCGAAAAAACCCAATTAAACACCTAGTCGGATTCCCCAATTCCGACTAGGGTAATATTTTTAATTTTTTTTTGTTTCGAGTGGGTGAGGTATTTAATAGAAGCAACCCAACACCTAGTCGGAATTGGGGAATCCGACTAGGTAGTGTGATATTTTTAATTGTTTTTTTAATGTTTTGGTGACGTGTTTAATTGCGGTTCTAGTATTTCACCGAACTCCTACACTAATACGCCTATAAAATCAATTCGTTTGTTCTCAAAATTTACAAACACACTCCAAAAACACTTCTTTCTTTTGTAAGGGTACCGACATACCATATTCATCCAAAACACTTGTTACTTTAATTACTTTCATATATTCATTATTTTTTTTGTTTAGCACTCTCCTCTCATATTATAGTTATAATATATACCATATATAAAAAATGTCTAGTGAGGGTAATATTGTTGTTATGGTTCATTGGAATGGCTCTACATCTCAAAAAGATGATGAAATAGAGTACTCCATACCTCCTAGGGCGGTACTATGGGTTAGTGAAGGAGATGATTATACTACTATACATGAGAAAGTTCTAAATCATGTTAGAGGCGACGGATTTTCCGAAATTAAATTAATTCACGGAAAATTGCCAAAGTATAAAAATTCAGTATATGTTGCTTCTAGATTATGGCCCATTCACGATGAGCGGACATGGCGTCATTTTTTCCGGATCGCTACAAATGAGTATGAGGAGTTGCACATTTACGTGGAAGCTTCAGCGACCCCGCCACAAAATTTGGCATTCCACGGAACTCCCAGAGAGGAAGGCCCATCATCAATATATGGTCGGAGGAACAACCGCCAAATGTTTGAGAACTATGAATCTCCCGGTATGTATTGTTCAAGTTAAGTAGAATTTACAATGATTTGATTTTATTTGTTATCATTTTAAGAGTGTAGAAGTAATTAATTTAGTAATTCGTAAATATTAGTTAAATTGGCATAATGAGTTAATGAGTATATATCACTGATATTAGTAATATATGTATTAGTTAGTGAATTATATACTTATCCTATCATACAAGTATATATTATCTGTAGTATAATATATTAAATAATACTAATATTATGCATAATTAGGCTAATTAATAACTGTTTAATTTAATATCTTTATAATAATATTATGCGTACCTAATTACTTATATGTGATTTACATATTACTTATATTAATTATATATTTACGATATTGATTTAGACGGAGATAGTATCACGTCGTTAAAAAAGCTATATATAGACCGCTAACTTATAATTTGCCTTAATTAAGTTTTTTAGGAGTGTAGACGTAGTAGATTTAGTAATTTGCAAATTTTTTAATTTAGATTGTTAAATTTGAATTTTAGAGTTAAATTTAGCTATAAAATACTTCAAAGTTAGAAAGAGTGTTAAATTTAGAATTGGCCTTAAATTTTGGTTTTACGAGTGTAGGAGTAGTTAATTTTGTAATTTGTAATTGGTTTCAATTTTGATTTGTGAAATTGGAATTTTAATTTAGTGTATATTATACTTAATATTTCTTTGTAATTCAAATACAAATATTATCAAAATTTAACAGATAATCAAAAAAACATTATCTGATAAAATTTATCAGATTATATTTCCTTTATATTTCTCGCATCCACCGCATCTACCAAATTCATTATTCTCTCCAAACCATATTGATGGATTGTCTACCCGGGGGGTATCCTATCCGAGGGGTTATTGCGGGAATAACTAGAGAGAAGTCAGAGTAAATAGGAGGAGAGAGAGTCGATTTTATTAAATGAACTCAGCGTGGAGTCGAGATGTAGGTTGTGTCGATTACAAGGAGAAATAGGCTGCTATTTATAGCAGCAATAAATGCGATGAGGGGACACGTGTCAGTAATCCAACGGCCGAAGGGTCACATCAGCCTAGTGGTGCTGGCAGTGGTACGTCAACCGCATTGAATGCGGTTGGCGGATGTGACGTGGCATTAAATGCGGTGGTTGGCTGTCTCTAAAAGGAATCTTCGATGATTGAGCCTGTTCAGCCGAAGGCTCATTGTGTTAGCCGAGGGCTCCCTGGCGTGGCCGGGGGCTAGGTTCAACCGAAGGCTTCTTGTGTAGCCGAGGGCGTAAGGATGCCGAAGGCTCATGTTTTCGCCCGTTTTCTCCCAGCAGCTTCTTGTGCCAGAAAGGCTATCCTGTGAGTTCTGGAGCCTTCGGCCAAGGAGGCCGAAGGTATCCCAGTGTGTAGTCTGAGCTACTTTGAGGCTTGAGCCGTTGTATTTGGGCCTGAGATGTTCTCTGGGCTTAATGGACTTGTGTAGGAGAAGTAGGAGTCTATGGGCCGGGGGTTCCTGGGCCATATACTCCATCACATATCTATACAAATTCATTATTTCCTTTATCTTTATTAGTCTATTGAATCCAATTTTAAGTGCTGTCGAATTAAAATGTAAAAAAAAATAAAAAATCTTCCTGTCGGATAGAGCAATTCTGACTAGGGGGGTGTTTAATTTAAAAAACTGTTTTATAATTAAAAAATCTTCCTACTGTCTATTTTGTTTTATTGAAATATGACTTTTAGAGTTAGATTTAGCGATAAAGTACTAGAGACTTAGAAAATGTGCTACATTTAGAAATAGCCTTAAAATTCAATTTAAAGAGTGTACAAGTAGTTAATTTTGTAATTTGTGAATTTTTAATATAGATTATGAAATTGGACTTTTAGAATTTGAGTTCAAAACCTGTGAATTTATAAATTGTGCTCAATTTAGATTTAGAGTTCAATTTCAAAATTAGTAATTTATAACTACTTATTTCAGGAATTTCAAAATGGACCAAAACACTCCGCGCCCAGGGCCTATTGACCAGTCACTACTCACGTTGCCACTTCGTGCCCATCGTGCAGACCGTGTATGGTATGAACCAGATTCCAAAGACTCGTGCTTGAAATGCGTCAGTTGCCCTTCAGCTGCATTCGGATGTGAAGCGCGAGATGAAAGAGTGATAAATATGTTAGCATATGCTAGGTTCTTGGGGGTAGAGCACATTGCCCGTATGAAGGTGGATCATAGTTTAATATGCGCGTTGGTGGAGAGATGGAGGCCGGAGACACATACTTTCCATCTTCCATTCGGTGAGGTCGGCATTAGTCTACAAGATGTGGCGGTGATCCTTGGTTTGCCCATTCAGGGTATGCCCCTCAGTGGTCCAACCATTAGGGGTAAGGATCAGTGGATCGACCTGTGCACTCAGTCGTGTGGTTTCACTCCTCTACAGACTGATATGCGCACGAGTGATATCACTATGAGTGCTGTTACCCGTCACCGGATCGTAGATGACAGTACAGACGAAGAGGTCACCGAACACACCAGGACTCTAATATGGCAATTGCTTGGAGGGTTTTTGTTCCCTGACACGAGTGGGGCAAGAATACGATTGTACTTTTTGGAGGTCTTGCAGGGTGACTTGGCTTTAGCCCGTCGCTGGAGTTGGGGATCAGCGGTTCTCGGGTACCTCTACCATAACTTGTGCAACGGCGCGATGTGGGAAACCAAACAAGTTGGCGGTTGTATGCACTTGTTACAGATTTGGGCTTGGTCGAGGATTTCGATGGTCCGTCCCTCAGCACTTCAGGTCATTCAACATGACCATCTTCCATATGGGTGCAAGTATGTTGTCAATTACATCTTAATAATTGAGAATGCTTTACATGACGTTACATTTTTTAACTTCATATCGGTAATCCATAAATGTAGGTGGATCGTCCCCAAGTCATATAAGGGATCCCCAAGACATTGCATACGCTTGTACCGGGATGACCTAGACCGCATGACTGAGAGTCAGGTAGTACATGAAATTTTTACTTCAACCGTACTATTCAGCCTCAAAATACACTATTTTTTCTAGTTTTTAAATTGCAAATTAAACTTTTTACAGTTTGATTTCACTCCCTACGCGTCCGAGATGCTCCCGCCTCTCATCCTTAATGATGCTCCGCTTTGGTCGGCTAGAGTCATGCTCATATTTTGCAATATGGCCGAAATGCATTACCCGGATCGATTTCTTCGGCAGTTCGGTATAAGGCAAGACATTCCGAATGCTCCTTTGCCGGGTACTGATCATCACGGATCTCGTTCCAACGTAGTAATCGGTGCCTTGGCGATGTGGGCGGACATACAACATAATATATACGTTCTTGATTATGATCGATATATGTCCCTCGAAGCAACTAAAAGGTACCGAAACTGGTACAAGAAGCATGGTATGACACGTGTCCAGAACCCTTCTCACAATGTGCCCACGACAGACTACACCCCGGCAGCACACGATTGGGGTATTGTGGTAAGTTTTTGAATACATGCCATATTCGCTACCATATATCGTGTCATATTATTTACACGTGTTACATTTTTATGTAGAAGCAAGGCGTTCACGAGGTGTATCAGTGATAGCCGTTATATTTACTTATGTATAACATAAGTATTTATAAGTATTTGTTGAAGAAAGGAAGAGAAATCAGGCAAATACCTCCAAAATGAGAGCTAGATCATAAAACATTGCGATGAACGACTTTTTAGACCAAGAGAATGATGTTCTGCCCATAATTTGAGTATAACGTATTCTATAGAACTCGAAATCACTCGATTCGAGTTTCATGTGAATTCTAACTCAATAAGGTACAAATGTTATGAAGACGTCATGGCCAAAATATGAAAGGAACAAAACTCAATCAACCAACAAAGTCAGATGTTGCTGGTGGGATTTCAGGATGCATACCTCTCAGTGTTTTATCCATATCGTTTGATTGGCTGAATAAAATCACGTCATTCAAGTTTTGGTGGATAGAAGACTTCATTAGCTACAACTTTGATGAAGGACTCATGTCCAAATTCGTAGCGGAACACCCCCAAAATCCCAGGACAAAACCGGCGCCGGAATTTCACCAAACCGGCGCCGGTTGCATTTAATCCGTTATTCTCCCGGTCGGCCGAAGTATAACCGGTGCCGGTTTTACCCTATAACCGGCGCCGGTTATGGTGTTTTTTACTATTATTCCATCCCCGAAGTAAAACCGGCGCCGGTCAAGCCTAAAACCGGCGCCGGTTAAGCCCGAATCTGCAGAATACAAAGAGACGTGCAGCCATATCTTGATGGGAAAAACTCACCTTCCTCATGATCTGATCAAATATATCTTCCATGCCTGATTGTTGGGCTTGAATAGACTAAAAGATGCCAATCTTTAGCCTATATAAAGCCCCCAATTCATCAAACAAGATCATCATTCCATTCTTGAAGATTAAATTTCAGTTTTTATATTTCCTTTTTGCATTTTCTTGAAGTGTTGGAGAAGAAGCCATTTCTCTCCTCTACAATTGGTTCTATGTATTATTTCTTGTATGTTATTGTATTTCATTGTTCTTAGTTACACTTTTGTAATTAATATGAGCTCAAGGAGCTAAGTTCTTAGCTAAGGCTAGGGATGAACTTCTATGCCCACTAGGTGTTTGATAAAAGTTCTAAACCAATAAAGTGTGATTTATCCTTTACATTTTGATTGTTTATGACTATGGTGTACAACATAGAAGTATGTTAAACTTAGTTTATGCTTGCAATTAACGTTGAGGTCTAAACTATGAACATTAAAGGATAAACATATATATTACCGAGAATAGAAATATATCCGGTATTATATGATACGGGTGTGATGTCTTGATATTCAACGGGTTTTCGGTAGATGAATGTAAGCCGTAACGGGACTTACACGTAACGAAAACCACGCTCTCGCTGCCTTAACCGGAGTTGAGAATATATTAGCGACATCGTATTCATAATTTTTGGTAAAGAACTAATATTCAACCCTATTAAAGCATTTAAGTGATTCCCAAAGCCTTAGTTGTTGTTATCAATCACTTTAAATAAATTAATTTAAGTTATATCTCTGAAAATTAAAAAGAACCAAGTTGTTGTTTTCACAACAACACACAACTCAAAATCCCTGCACTTTACTCATTTATTTATTTAAAGTCAACTACTCTCGGACTAAATTAAACAACGTTTCCCTGTGGATTCGACCCGGTATTTTACCGGAATTTATTACTATATCGGCACTTGTACACTTGCAAGTTTAGCCCGGTCAATCAGCTCTTAGCCGACCGCGCGAGTTATGAGGATTGTCAAAAACGACTACGGCAGATGGCCCTGGATGTAGGTGATGAAGATATGCTCCACCGGGGCATATTCCACTGTGAAGATGAAGATGCAGGTGGAAGTGACGAAGAGGATGATTCACATGAACGTGAAGATGGGGGTGAGGATTCACAAGCGCCCCCTCAAATCTCAACACAGGGTGTCTCATTTGATCAACCACCCCCTCAATTCTCAACGCATCAAGGTAGGTCATTTGATCAACCACCGCCGTATTATGATTCTTATCAGTGGTCCACATCGGATGATTATGTTGAGTCATTTCTGAATTCGTCTTTTTACTATGGACACACAACGGGGCCTTGGAACACTGGCGGTGGGGATGGAGCAGGGCCGAGCACGCAACATTAGATGTAGTATTAAATTTAATTTTGTATGTACCGTCTATTCATTAATAAATTATATTGAAAACTACATTTGTTTTGTTCACTTCCATTAAAATTACAAAAAAAATCACTTAAAACAAAATGAAATTTTTATCTAATTAGACGAATGGAGTAAATCAAAATTGCACTTAAAATTACAAAAATTGCAATTAAAACAAAATTCACAATACAAATGGATTAAAAAACAATTTAAAGCAATCAATTGTTTTCCTACTAAAAAAATCATAATGCTAAGTTTTCATTTTAAAAATATGTCATGAATCTCAAACAAATTTTAAATTTGGAATTGATATAATTTAGCCCTAACACTTTTATTTTTTTTCGAACTCAAAATCAAAAACAAAATTCAAAAAAAAAAAAATTCCCTAGTCGGAATTGGGTAATCCGACCAGGGGGGAGGAATTTTTTTTTCTTTTTTCGAAACCCTAACTAATTTGAAATCAAAAACAAAATTCGAAAAAAAAAATATATTTTTTCCCTAGTCGGAATTGGGTAATCCGACTAGGGGGGAGGGAATTTTTTGGCTTTTTTTTACCCTAACTTCTAGTCGGAATTGGGAGTTCCGACTCCCTTGTTTTGGTAAACCCTAGATTAATCCCCGTGTTTTGGCAACCCCAACCCCCTTTCCCCGTGTTTCGGTAAATCACCCATAAAATCATACATCATTATATCCCTACTATAATAACCGAAATATACATAAAATTTTAGCAAGAAACTCAAATCATAGCACAAATCATAATTAATACATAATAGGAGCAAAATAGTAGTTTTGGTTGCAATAATCCTTACCTCGAATAATCGCGATAAATCCTTACCGAAGCTTTTACCTCGATCTTCTCCCATTCACCTTTTAGGATATTGAAATTCTAGAATTAAAAATTTATTTATAAATGGAAATTAATTATATATCCCACCTTAGCTTATCTTATTTAATTATATCATCTATATAAAGGCAGACAATAATGAACTCATGCACATCTTTCTTTCTTTTCACATAAAGAGTTGGTTCATTCTCACTTCTTTCAAAGTCATTTTAAAGAAAGAATGAATCAATCTTACTGTACCATGCACGAGGTGCCTTCTTCAGCCCATATAGAACCTTCTTTTGCCTGTACACCTTGTCTTCCTCACCCTACCTTATGAATTCAAGAGGTTTCTCAACAAAGACCTCTTCCTGCAAGTGCCAATTTAGGAAAGCAGATTTTACATCAAGTTGAAATATCTTTAAATTCCATTGGGCTGCTAGAGCTAGGACAACTCTAACAGTTTCCATCCTTGCAACAGGTGAGAAAGTTTCCTCAAAGTCTATGCCTTCCTCCTGTGCATAGCCTTTTGCCACTTACCTGGCCTTGTGTTTCTGAATACTTCCATTTGTGTTGAACTTAATTATGAACACTCATTTTAAGACAATGATATTCTTCCCTTCAGGCAGATCTAATAACTCCCATGTTGAGTTCTTTTCAATTGATCTGATCTCTTCATTTATAGCAGCTTGCCATTCTTTTCTTGATTTGGCTTCTTCAAAGTGTGTTAGATCAGTTGTCATCAAGGCAAAATCACAGTTTTCATATGATCAGCTATAGACCCATATCTTTTTGAGGCCGAGTCTTCTGATGAGCTTGATGATGGAGTTGATGCAGTTGATGTACTGTGACTTGATGATGATGGTGTTGAAGGAGGACTTGGGGTGTGGCCACGACTAACTAACTCCTCCTCAGAACCATCAAACTCTACATGAGTTGTGCTGACTCTCACTACTTACTGTTTTTTCTTTCCAATCCCTACCTGAATTCTCATCAAACACCACATTTCTACTAACAATAATTTTGTCAGTAAGAGGATTAAACAGTCTGTAAGCCTTAGATTGAGGTGCAAAGCCAACTAGAACACACTTAATAGATTTATCATCTAGTTTGGACCTCAAATCTACTAAAGCATAAGCTATGCATCCAAAAATTCTCAAGTGACTTACAAATGGTTTCTTTCCACGTCAGGCCTCAAATGGAGTCATATTCATAACTGCTTTAGTAGGGGAGACATTCAGGATGTATACTGCTATGGCTACAGCTTCACACCAAAATTCATTGGGAACTCCTCTAGCTTTGAGCATGCTTCTTGCCATTTCCACCACTGTCCTGTTCTTTCTCTCTACCACTCCATTCTGCTCAGAAGTATAGGGTGATGCCAACTCTCTCCTTATTCCTTGCTAATCACAGAACTTGAGAAATTCATTTGACGTGAATTCACCACCTCTATCTGTTCTCAGGGCTTTCACATATAACCCAGACTATTTTTCAACGATCGCTTTGAAATTCTTAAAGTGATCAAATGCTTCTGATTTATCTTTAAGAAAGTACACCCAACTCATTCTACTAAAATCATCAGTGATAAGCAAGAAATACTTATGTCCTCCAAGAGAATTTGTCTGCATTGGGCCACATAGATCTGCATGAAGAAGTTCAAGGGATTGACTTGCTCTCCATGCGTTGCCACTTG